TTCGTCCTTCCTTCCAGTCAACAAGCATTTACTGAAGCCTTACTGTGTGCTAGGTACACTTTTAGCCATTGAAGATACTACTACCATGACCAATATAGTATTCCATGTCTTATGAGGAATTAAATTCTAGTGGGAGGAGGGAAGAGTTCAGACTAAATAAATAAATAGTGTATTACTAAGTGATGAGAGCTATGGAGAAAACTAAGGGGGATAAGACATTCTGGGAAAACCACATTATAAAGAAGAATTATGAAGTCATTTCAAAGAGTTCAAAATGGTAATGTTTATTTTGCTTGTTTCTATTGAGACTTGAAAAATATATGTATCATAACCCAACAGGTTGGTGAACAAACATTATTATCTGGAAACTACAATGAGAAATAACAGACATAAAGCTTAGAAATCATCTTGGAAATAACTATCAGCCATAGATAATTAAAGCAGCACATTTCCTATAGAAGCTATTCTGAATATTCACGGTGACAAGTTCAGGCCCCTTTCCTTTTTTTTTTTTTTTTTTTGCGGTATACGGGCCTCTCCCTGTTGTGGCCTCTCCCGTCGCAAAGCACAGGCTCCGGATGCGCAGGCTCAGCGGCCATGGCTCACGGGCCCAGCCGCTCCGCGGCATGTGGGATCTTCCCAGCCCGGGGCACGAACCTGTGCCCCCTGCATCAGCAGGCGGACTCTCAACCACTGCGCCACCAGGGAAGCCCCCCTTTCCTTTTAAATAAAGTAAATTCACTGTCAAACCCCTAGCTTATATCTTATTATATCTAATAGAACTTATTTTTTATTAAGCATGAACATTTAAAATCAGAAGGAACATGTTTCTAACTAGGAAATTTTTCCTTTAGATATTTTCTGCCAAATATTACTTACTTAACACAATCTGTTACACTGTATATAATCTTCGACTCTGCAGATGATTGCATCTCCTTTATATTGCCTGTCTATAATTTTAAACAATTACTACAGTACACTCCAGGGACTATATGTGCTATATAAATGGACTCTGTCTCTTTCTCCAGTCTTGAAGCGGGGCAAATGCAGACCTTGTAGGCCTGTAGGGTGCAGCCCAACAGGTTCTCAGGTGTTTATCACTTTATTTTAATTTTGTAGTATTTTTCCTTAAGGAAAAGGATTAGAGAGAATATACCTGTTCCTCACACAAGACTGGGAGGAGTGCCCGTTCCTGAAAACCAAACTAAAAAACCTCACAATTCAGAGTATTTGGTAGAGTCTAGCCTCCGTAGTGGGAAATAATTAGCTCTAGACTAAACACTGCTCAGGTTCTGCCAATAAATCTAAAAAGCAAGACTCAAAGGAACCTAATTATTTTTTAGTAACTTGACAGTACCCTAGAGTAAGAATACTTAACAGGAAGACAAAAGTATCTAGTACCAAACAAGGTAAAATTCATGTGTGATACTGAATCACAAATTTTTAGACATGCAAAAAAGTAGGAAAAAATATCAATGAGGAAGAAGAAGGAAATTCAATCAACCAGACCCAGAACTGACAGAGAGGACTGAATTAGAGACAAGGGCATTTCCATTCCAGTCCCACTCCCTAGAGTTATACTCTCTTAATATCTGTGTGATTTGTTGGGATGAAGTTTACCTTATACAATTTCTACTAAAAATGTGCTAAATCAACCAATAATAAACAATATTGGGAGATGTAATGGTTAAAGGTTTGAAATATTTCAAGTATCCTAAGGTTATTTCTTTGGTATGTTCCTACCATATTGAGAGAAAAAAATATTCAAAATGCCAATTAAGTTTACTCATTAAAGAAAGAAAATAAAATACTGTCTACTGGGCTTCCCTGGTGGCACAGTGGTTAAGAATCAGCCTGCCAATGCAGGGGACATGGGTTCGAGCCCTGGTCCTGGAAGATCCCACATGCCGTGGAGCAACTAAGCCCGTGTGCCACAACTACTGAGCCTGTGCTCTAGAGGTCAGGAGCCACAACTACTGAGCCTGTGTGCCACAACTACTGAAGCCCGTGCACCTAGAGTCCGTGCTCCACAACAAGAGAAGCCACTGCAATGAGAAGCCCCCGCAATGAGAAGCCCGCAAATCGCAACAAAGAGTAGCCCCTGCTCGCTGCAACTAGAGAAAGCACACGTGCAGCAACGAAGACCCAACGCAGCCAAAAATAAATTAAATAAATAAAATTTTTTTAAAAAGAGAATAGGAATATACCAATCTAAAAAAAATACTGTCTACAACAACTCCAAGGTTTTGTAAAGGCTTTGAAGTGATAAAGTTTTAATGAATGCTTGAAAACAGCAACAATGAGCTTTTACATTGCTTTCTTTTATTCTAAAAACTGAGGTTTTAATGAATTTTGTAATTATGCTTATATATTTCATAGGTCAGTTTACATCTTTGTGTTTTCCTACTGGTATGTGAGTAAATGTATTCCACAACTGGCTTATAGTGTGAAAGTTAAATATTAAAGAAAACTTCATCATAACTGGTTTCATGAAAAACCATTACTTTCATACATGGAGTAAGAAACTATTGAAAGGCTGTACTTATATAATACTATATTTGAAAAACTACCTCCTAAAACTGATAAATTGGACATTTTTCAAAACTAAAAACTTTCGTCATTTGGAAGATACTGTTAAGAAAATGCAAAGGCAAACCACAGACAGGGGGCTATATTTGTAAAACATACATCTGAGAAAGGACTTGGAATCAGATATATAAGGATATTTTAAGACTCAATAATAAGAGGACAAGCAATAAGCTAAAAAAATTAAATAAAACTAAAAAGTCAGTAACTTTGACAAACACTTAACCAAAGAAGATATACAGATGGGAAATAAACCTATGAAAATCTAGTCATCACTAGTCTTTAGGCTAGTGAAGTTAAAACCACAATGAAAGTCCACTGAACACTCACAAGAATGGCTAAAATTAAAATGATAGGGCTTCCCTGGTGGCGCAGTGGTTGGGAGTCCGCCTGCCAATGCAGGGAACACGGGTTCGTGTTCCCGTCTGGGAGGATGCCACATGCCGTGGAGCGGCTGGGCCCATGGGCCATGGCCGCTGGGCCTGCGCGTCTGGAGCCCATGCTCCGCGGCGGGAGGGGCCACAGCGGTGAGAGGCCCGCGTACCACAAAAAGAAAAAAAAGACAATATCATGGATTGATGAAAATATAGAGGAATTATCATACATTGTTGATGGGGATGAAAAATGGTACATCTATCTTGGGAAACAGTTCAGCAGTTTTTTAAAGTTAAACATATACTTATCAAATGATCAGGAAATTCCACTCTATGTGTTTACCCAAGAGAATGAAGACATATGTCTACAAAAGACCTGTATGTAAATGACTGTAGTAGCTTTATTCATAATAACCCCAAACTGTAATAAACCAGTTATTCCCCCAACTGGAGAATAGATAAATTGTGTATATCTATACAATGAAATTCTAATCAGCAATAAAAAGAAAGGGACTACTGGTACATGCAACAACATGAATAAACCTTAAAATAACTACGTTGCTATATAAGAACTCATACTGCATGATTCCAGTTTTATGAAAATCTAGGAAAAGCTAACTTATACAGACAGAAAGCTTATCATTAGCTGCCAGGAGCCAAGAGGTAGGAATAGGAGATTAACTATAAGAGTACATTAGGGACATGGGGAGTGGGGTGTTGGTGATAGAAATGTTCTATATCTTTTTTTTTTTTTTGCGGTACGCGGGCCCCTCACCACTGTGGCCTCCCCCATTGTGGAGCACAGGCTCCGGACGCGCAGGCTCAGCAGCCATGGCTCACGGGCCCAGCCACTCCCCGGC